TCTCTCCTAACTCTTTGCATTCCTCCCAAGTTAGCTCAACTAACATTTCAGTCTTCTAGAAAAGATCTAAAGGAAAAAAAAAAAAAAAAAAAGAACTTTCTTCAAGGACAGACTGCAGGAAGTATTGTAAGCTTTTAACCCTCTAGCCCCTCACTTTCACCCCTTGGAAATAACAAGACGAATATTTTGTTTCACAGTTTTCTGCCAATTGCCTCATTCTTGATTCAGTGCAGCTTAAAGCCTGCCTCAGGAAAGCCTGTTTCTAGGCTTCCCATGTTGTTTCACAGTCCTAAGAGGATCAGCACAAAACCAGCAGCAGTTCAGCCCTACATATTTGTTGTAATTTCATGTCCAGAAATATTTCTGCTATAGAAATCGTATTTTATCTTGCTGTTTTATATGATAATGCTGGAAGTCCAGTGGAGAATGCAACAAAAATGAACATAATTGCATTCCATTATTTTGTCCATTTAAAATGCAAGTCTTTTCCAGGGCTATTTATTGTTTATAACAACAACAGCTTACAGTGTTGAAAATTATTACTTGCAATTACTTTTATTATTACTATTAATAGAATTCTACCCTCAAGGAGAAAAGCTATTTATTTATACCTGGATCTTCTGCACTGCTGAAAGTTAAATATGCAGAAATATCTGGAAGAGAAAATATTTAATTTACATATAACAAAAGAAACACTTGGAGGTGCTCATTTACACAAGAACAGCATGCAGCCACTTCAAGTGATGATTGCTGGCTCTGACAAGCTACCTTTTACCTGTCATAGCAGACAGAAGAGAAGCACTTTCAGCCACAGCATGAAAGACAGTGGTTGCAGTGACAAGCTGTTGTACTCCAGCAGAGCCTCCCATGTAGCATGTTACCATAGTCTCCTCCAGAAGGCTGTTTCTCAAAGCTGGTTGACAAATTGTTTATCATGTCAACCAACTTCAACCAGTAAAGGAGGTCACAAAATGAAAAGCAAGTCTGTGGTATGACTGATCAATGGCAGCACCAAGATCTTAATTTGATTAGGGAGATGGAAATGATGGCCTGGGAAGCAATACATTTAAAAGTTCTGGGAAGAGGCAACATCTGTGATTAGCAGACAAGTAGGGAAGAGTGTGGTTTCAGGAGCCCCAGAAGTTTGACATAAGATTTTAGAGAGAAAGCTGAAAACCAGAAATTGATGGAATTTTTTACCTTTGTAAGTTTCCTTCCTAACCAAATTTGGAGTTCATTATAACCCAGGGTTTCTGAATAAGAAGTGCTAGTCAGACATTTTTGTAACAAGTCTTTTGATAACACTTGATAGCATTCGTCCAACTGTCAGAGCCCTGTCTCCAGCTGTGGCTAATCACAAATATTTCAGATGCAGAAAATGGAAGAAAAATCCACAAACTATATCTAACCTTCACGTGTATCAGAGAAAAAACAAAGCAATTTTCTGATTACTCTTGTGAATCAACAATTGAAACCCTGAAGCTTAAAAGCTGGTTATAAGCATTCTAACAACAAGCTACAAGTGTTATGACCCTATTAAGGGCAACAAAGTTTTTTTCTTGTTCACTCCAAGGCCCACAAAAGAAGAAAAAAAATAGCAGTAGTAAGGGGAAATGCTTAAATGCCAGAAACACCACAGTGACCATTTACCCCCAAGTCCATCTCTTCCTCTCAAAGAGAAATAAAAACTTCCATCAAAACAGCATCCAAAAAAAATATCTTTGTCTAAAACACTGAAATACCTTCAATATGCTACAAAGGCAACTTACTTCAGAAGTTAACTTGTTTCACTTGAACAACCAGAAATTGGATCTGGTTATGACTTCGACAACAAGGTCTACAAAACTCCCAGCACCACATACCTTTTCCATGTGTAAGTAGCTATTCAGAACAAGTAAGTCACCTCTCTATTTTCTTCAATAAGGAGCTGGACATATGCAGCTTAAACCACATATTAGCTTGCTTTTCCAAAACATAGATCATTTTTATGGCTTGTTTTGAGCTGTCTAGTATTTCCATATCTTCTGAAATATGAACAACAGAACTGGACACAGTATTCTAAAAACATAGAAAAACAAGATTGTATCTCTGTCTCTATGCTGATGCTGTCCATTTCAAACAGCCAAGGATTAGCAGTGGTGTTTTTTCTACAGCACTGTGCTAAGAACTTACACTGACTGTGATGCATAATTTTCCTAATGCATTCCAAGAGCGTTTCTCTATTATTTTTCTTTTAAAATCTCTCACATGTATGTACAATCCATACTCGCCTGGATTAAAATTGTTCAATTGTAACCATTTAAACAAATAATTCAGATCAGTATTACTAAACTTTCCTTTTCAGTAATTCAATGCTTTCAATGTCTTAAATGACAATTTCCAGCTCTACAAATTATTTTATCAACTATGTAGTTGATAAAATTACAATGTTTGACCAAACATCTTCGCTAAAAGCCTTTCCCTTAACAGTGGACAGAAGTATAAACAGTGGACAGAAGTATAAACAAAACGTTCATGTTGGTGAGCTATTATCATCTAATGTGTGCTACATCAATCCCCCAAATTGCAGATCTCTTAAAAATCTACAGTCCAAGAAAAACTACCTACCCTGAAACCATACCAGCTGGCACTAATTACACCTTTTATTACGCTGTCTGTGGTAACAGAACTCCAGCTCTATTTCACAGGCATGTTGCTTAACTTGGGTGTTGGAGCTCTAGGGTGGTTTGCTTTTTAAGTTTTGGAACTAAATTGGTGATGTCCCAATCATTTGGAATATTTTGCACTTTCCAAGATTAGTGAATAGTAAATGATGGATTAGGGTGCTTTCTTTATCTAGCTTCTTTAAGAAATTTTGGAAATAAATTGTCCAGGACTACTGATTCAGATGCTGCCTCTTTTGACATAAATGATACACATTCCTACTACAGAGCAGAGGCACCTTCATTTCTGTTTGTGTTCAGAACTGTCATTTGTACTCTTCTTTAGGATATTATTCTTATTCTTAGTAGCGTAAAGAATAGTGCACTATCTTCACTGGGATTTCATAATTTTCTTGGACTTGCTTTTTCTTGTGGCTCTTGAACCCTTACATCCCTGTTGTTGTTAATACATGCATACACACATACACACACATAAACAGGAAGTGATCGATGTTTATACTAGACTACCTCCTAGAAGTGTAATACAAAGCTTTGAATAGAAGTGAAACAAAATAAGTATTACATGTTAACATGCACATTTTTGTGTAGTAAAGGAAAGTCTATTGACAGCAGATTTCATTTTCTTTCACTAGATTACCAAATTAAAAAAAAAAAAAAGGAGGGAGGAATAAACCCATAAGATTGCATCTAGGATTCTCCCAAACATACTTTTCTGTCTCTTCCAGGAAAGTTACAAAAAAACTGTCAATCTCAAAAACATCCTACTTCAAACATTCATACACTACACTCAGTATCATATTCTACAGGAAAGTAAACTATCTAAGAAATTTTGAGTGAACAAATGCTTTTATATCGAGTATTGAACAAAACCATCCTCTGTATTAAATCCTCCAAGCACCACAGTGCTTGGAATCAGATAATGTTCTTCTGGTTTTGTTCTGAAACATTCTCAAAAGGTTGAACATTCTTTAATATATTACTTGCTGTTCAAGCCACAAATTCAAGATAATGGGGAAAAAGCCCCAAATCCTGAACAGTAAAAACACTATTCACTAAACCACTTCCTTACTTGTTTTCCTCACTCATCTGGGCCAACACAAATAAAATTCATAATAAAGTAACAGACATCTACTCAAGAGATCACAAATGCTTTCTACAAAGAATGCTTGGAAGGAATTCAACTCTCATAAGATTCGTGATAAACAAGAATCCAGTTATCACATCTTAAAAAAATCAAGTATCAATTTTCCAGGGTAACCAAGCAAAAAAATAATTAAACACAATGAACATCACATTGAGTCCTTTGAATACCATTTTATTAATTTTGCCTGAAGACAGAAATTATAAATAAACTTGTAATTTAATAATGGATATACAGTGCAACTTTATTTAGGGCTTATGGTTTCAGACATCAAAACAAAACATTCAAACTCTTTTCTGCTTTAAGAATTACATTAACAGGTGCATGCAGATATGTCAGAAAGCCAACTCTGACCTAAATTTAATTCCCACCTCACTCAGAGCTGTATTTAGTAACTCCAGGATAACATGAGGGCTAAGAGATGAGAGTACTGCCACCTCGTGTCAGTCAAGCTGAAGCCTAACAAACAAGACTACTGACTAAAACTAATCCCAAAACATGTTCTGCCTTTAAAGTCTAACAGCTGAGATCAGATGCTTGATCTTTAATTAGGAAAGAGCATAGTACTATCAGCCTTTAAGAACATCTTAAACCAATTTAAATAGTCAAACTCTCTGTACTTAATCAACATGTCTGGCAGCAGCTATTCATTGTATTTGCCATTTTAACATCCTGGGTTTAGTCACTCATAACTGTGAAAAATTTCAATCACCAGGGAGAAGAGCTTTGGTAACACATATCTATTTCAAACTCAGCCATTCTGGTTTAATTTTGGTTTTTTATAAAAACATTATGACAAACCAAAAAAAGAAAAAAGTACATGCATACAGAGTTTGACAGTTCAAAAAAGACGTATGTCTTGTGAAACGCTCTAATATACCCATGCTATAAAAAGGGTCATATATTCTTACTGCATAAATATTTGAATACTCAAGTAAACATAAACTTTAGGAAGTACAGAAGTATTATGAAAATTCTCAAGTATACTGACAAGACACAAAGAAGAAATTTCTTCTCAGTCCATTCTTATCTAAAATACAAGCATTACATCAAACATTAAATAATGCAAAGAACCTGGTTTGGGTTTTTTTGTTTGTTCACTGATAAATGTATTTCGGCTCAGTGGATATTTCAGTAACTTCCATGGCCCAGGAGTCATTATTACAAGCAATAAAAATGTAAAATAGAGTACTCACCAATATCATTAGCTAGAGAAGCAGGATCAGAGGCCCCAAGGGTGGCTTCAAACTCCTCTTGAAGACGATAAGCTCTTTGAAGAAGCGATTCAAGCTTATGAATGAATTCAGCACTAATGATATCCTGCAAGATGATAGACGTTAGAAGATTTTCTATTTGTTTACAGTCTGTAAGATTCCTTTGTAAAATCTAAGAATATTAAGCCTTCAAAGAGCAAACCCTGCCACGTTAATTTTCTACAAACCGCATGACACTGTCAGATGAATACTTCAACATCCAACGTATACATGCATATTTTATTTAGTGTAATAAAAATAAAATCTAAATTTTAAAATACTTTTGAATGATCCATGAGGTTTACTGAACTAGAAATAATGAAAGCCACACAGGTTTACATCTATTTCAAAATTTAGTTCATAAGAACAAAGGAATACAAATAAATTTCAAGAACATTATTTGTGAATATTCATAAATTGAACATCCTCCCCAAGCCCTTTATCTTTGCTAAGCAGATATTCTCTTATGTAGTCATAAAAGAAAGGGAAGACCCAAGGGATTTTGTGCAGAAAACTAGTATACTTGGTATCTTGATAATACCATCCAGAAGCAACACTGATGCAACAGCAATAAATAAAAAAATAGAGCTAATTCCCTTCCCTCCCCCTCCTCCAAATAACCAACCAAAAAAACCCAAAAGGAACAAAGTTAGGTGTCATTTAAATTCCATAACACTAAATTGGAAATTTGAATTAATTCTCAAGTTTCGGTAATTGAATTAGAAGTTAAAAAGATTCAGGTAACAAAAGGCTATGAAATGTCAGGGCAGCAACAGTAGATTACAGATTGAATATACTCACTTCTACACTTTCTTCTGCAATTGCATCTCCTGCTCCCAGCTTAATGGAACCACAACTTGCTTCATCTTCAACTTGCCTGTTACGGAAAGTCAGTGCCTGCTCCCATCGACGCAGTGCTTCTTCAAAAAGCTCCATACCTAGGGGAGATCAGGAATACCTCCATTCCATCCCACACACAGCTTCCGTATGTATTCACCATTTAGAGTCACAGGAAACTATGTAGCTAATAAGCATGATTATAGCAGAGATACAAGTTTTAAAAACAACAGTAATTCCCAGTCTAACAAAAAAAAAAAAAAAAGATATCTGCCTTTTTAACACGATAAAGTTCAGAATATGATTGAAGCAATAACGTTCAATGTATTTTTTCCTATTTACTTAAAAAAATAATTTTATGAATTACTACAAGAAATAAAGGAATTAAAAAAATACGTATTTTGAAAAACTAACTCTACATCAAGATTTCATTATTCTATGGAAAAGTTCTTAGACACATGCCAACAGGACACTGTGAAAGAATACCACAGTAATATTGTGCAAGTGTCACTTTGCCATAAAAACAAGAAATTATTTACATTCATTTTTGGTAGATGCTGAATATTCTTATTATAACTTACCCATCAAATATAAATTTTCAGGTGTGGTCACTGGAATATTGACAAGTTTAATATCATCTTCATCTGCTTTATCCCAGGAATTAGAATTGGCACAAGCACAACTGTGACAAGAGGTGGCACTCTGAACCTTAAAAAAAAAATGAACACATTCTGAAGTGTTATCATACAGAGTATCCTTAGAACTACATTCCTACCAAAGCACTTTACACCCAAGCCATCTGCCTAGGAACTCTTTTCATTCTACAGTAAGTACCTTCTCAGCATCACCTTCTGTGCAGTTTGTTCAGAAAAGCTGTTTCAGCTCAGTGAAACCCATCAGTTGCATATTCAGTGCAAGATAACAGACATTCAAGAGCCTTAAAACACTTTTACTTACCGAGGCCAGGCTTTGAACTGAACCGGAGTATTTACTGAAAAGTCCTCCATTTGCATAGATACAAGACTGAGATCCTTTTTCCTTGGCAGAGCTCAGAGAAAGAGTCAAGTTTTGACGACTACTGGAACAACTAGAACCTAAGAGATACGGTGATTTTAAAGCTGCTGCAAACTCAAAACATTGTATCTTTCCTTAGCGAGATCTATCAAGAATTATACTTACTGTTTTCAATAAAATCCAGTTTAGAAGCAACAACAATTTTTTTTTGTTTTGTTTTTTTTGGTGTTTTGTTTTTTTTTTTTTGTTTTTTTTTTTTACAGTTCTACATGAGAAGCTACAAATTAGAATGGTCAGTATCTATAACAATAAACATACATTTGAGCATATTTTCCCAGCCAATAAAAAATTAACTCTGCTTTTCTCACTACTGACATGTCCACAAGAACAGGAAACCCCATTGTTAATACACTATTGATAAAAAAAGTTTAAATCCAAATTTATGATTAAAGCTTCACCTCTGAGAACAAGACCAGCTTATTTATAAAGACAATGTAATTTTGTTCCTAATTTGAAGATTTTACTTTAATAATTCAAACCTACTCAGCATTAAAGGAAAATAATTTGTTTTACTACTGCACACTCATCCTCTCACACCCCTCTTCCTCCCCTGTAAAAAGAGACCTTGGGGGTTCTTTCACATACCTTTTTCTGATGCAGCTGCTTTGGTACACTCTAATACTAGATGACTTGGTTCCCATGGTGGCACTTTCTTGTTTTTCTTTCCACGTCTTCTTTTAAAGTGATGGGCCAGAAAAATAACAGATATTGCACTCACTGCTGTTACCGTGAAAAGCTTCTTTAACCCAGGGGAAAGCTTTATCTGAAAATAAAAGAGTATGACTTCATTGGAAATACTCCTTAACTCCCACCTTTCCTCCTACCCTTCTTTTGGTGTGTTCAACCAAGGCTATAGCTTATCTGAGGGAGATCAGAGATGCTGCTCTCACAGCCTGAGAAACAACCAACTCTGAGTAAGGACACAGACTAACCTATTCTCAAAATTTGCGATGACCAGTAGGTGAGAGAGTTTACAAAGGGGTTGGTGCAACAAAGTGAGTGGCTGCACTGAGAGGAATATTGCAGCACCAAGAACCAGAAGGTGTATTGCAAATCCATGAACTACTGGGATCTAAGGAAATTACTTCCAGACAAACTTCTTTTTAATGCCAGGACAATATAGGACTTCAACTGATTCTTCTAACAGCAAAAAAAAAAATACTGAGAAGAAACTCACCCTTCACAGCTAGACTATTTCATGCACCGTGAGTGAAGGATCCAAAAGCTAATAATCGCATGGTGTTTCGATTTGTGAAGAACATGCATTTAAACATATTTCTCTAAATAAAACTTTTTTTTTTTAATTGTTACATTTTATTTTGGATACTCATCAGTCATAGGTTTACAGACGTTTAAATTAGCAAAAATACATATAATCACATAATGGTTTTGCATTGGAAGGGACCTTAAATATCACCTAGTTTCAACCCCCCTGCCATGGGCAGGGACATCTTCCACTAGCCCAGGTTGCCCAAAGCCCCGTCCAACCTGGCCTTGAACACTGCCAGGGAGGGGGCAGCCACAGCTTCTCTGGGCAACCTCATCCAGTGTCTCACCACCCTCACAGTAAAGAATTTCTTTCTTAGGTCTTATCTAAATCTTCTCTCTTTCAGTTCAAACCATGACCCTCCATCCTATCCCTACACTCCCTGACAAAGAGTCCCTCCCTGTCTTTCCTGTAACTCCCTTTAAGTACTGGAAGGCCACTATATGGTCTACGCAGAGCTTTCTCTTCTCCAGGCTGAACAATCCCAACTCTCTCAACCTGTTCTCACAGGGGAGGTGCTCTGCCCCCTGATCATGTTTGTGGCCCCCTTGGACTCGCCCCAACAGGTCTGTGTCCTTCTTGTGTTGGAGACTCCAGAGCTGGACACAGCACACTGCAGGTGGGGTCTCACGAGACTGATGTAGGAGAATCACGTGTCTTGACCACACTTCTCTTGATGCAGCCCAGGATGAGGTTGGCTTTCTGGGCTGTGAGCACACATTGCTGGCTCACAGTCAGTTTTCCATCCACTAATACCCCCAAGCTTGTCTCCTCAGGGCTGGTCTCAATCCACTCATCAATCAGTCTGTATTTGTGCATGGGATTGCCTCAGCTCATGTTCAGGACCTTGCACTTGGCCTTGTTGAACTTCATGAGGTTTGCACAGGCTCACCTCTCAAGCCTGTCCGAGTCCCTCTGGATGGCTCATCCCTTCCCTCCAGCATGTCGACCACACCACACAGCTTGGTGTCATCAGTGAACTTGCCGAAAGTGCTCTGATCCTACCGTCCGTGTCTCTGACAAAGATGTTAAACAGTACTGGTCCCAACACCGATGCCTGATGAACACCACTCATCACTGGTCTCCACTTGGACATCGAGCCGTTGACTGCAACTCTTTGAGTGGGACCATTCAGCCAATTCCTTATCCACTGAGTGGTCCATCCATCCATCAAATCATGTGTCCCCAATTTAGAGTAAAGGACGTCATGCACGACAGTGTCAAACATTTTTCACAATTCCAGGTAGATGACGTCAGCTGCTCTTCCCTTATTCACCAACACTGTAATCCCATTGTAAAAGGCCACCAAATTTGTCAAGCACTATTTGCTCTTAGTGAAGCCATGTTGGCTGTCATCAATCACCTCCTTATTTCCCATGTGCTCTAGCATTAGTTTCCAGGAGGATCTACTCCATGATCTTGCTGGGCACAGAGGTGAGACTGACTGGCCTGTAGTTCCCCAGGTCTTCCTTTTTTCCCTTTTTAAAAATGAGGGTTATGCTTCCCCTTTCACTGGACTGCCACAGCTTCTCAAATATGATGGATAGTGGCTTAGACACTTTATCCGCCACTTCCCTCAGGACCCACGGATGCATCTCATCAGGTCCCATGGACTTGTGCACCTTGAGGTTCCTGAGATGGTCTCAAATCTGATCTTCTCCTACAGTGGGTGGTTCTTCATTCTCCCAGTCCCTGCCTTTGCCTTCTGTGACTTGAGTGGTGTGACTGGAGCATTTGCTGGTGAAGACTGAGGCAAAAAAGTTGTTGAGTACTCTGGCCTTCTCCATATCTTGGGTAAACACCAAGTCTCTTGTTTCCTTCTGGAGAGGGCCCACATTTTGCCTAGTCTTGCTTTTATCACCAACATACCTACAGAAGCATTCCTTGTTGCCCTTGACGTCCCTAGCCAGATTTAATTCTATCAGGGCTTTAGCTTTCCTAACACCACATATACAAGCAACTGGAATTAAAAGCCATTAACATAGCTCATAAAAATGCAAAGTGACAAGATATACAAAGAAGAAAAGAGCTATTTAACTAGAGTCCACATTCGTGAAATCTTGAGGAAATCTATGCTGCTTGAGAAACAGACTGCTGGGAAAAAAAACAGATCTGCAGTCCTTAGGGATAATACAGTGTTTCTGTAACATGTTTCCTCATACAAGAGACAACTGCCCACACATAGTACCATGGCACTCTGGCAGTCCCTGGTTGCTGTACTATCAGAGCTGTATAATTTAAAGAAGCATTGAAATCTCTGCTCTGCACTGAGTTTGTAATCAACAACTTCCGACTTGAGAACCCTGTCCTTAGTGGTACTGTATCTTGAAGTAGTACTGTCTCTTGACCGAGGCCGAAAGCCTAGCACTGTAGTCTGTGAGGAAAAGGAAATCCCTGAAACAGCACAAACGCATTCTTACAAAGACTATTGTATTTCACAGAAAAGTTAATAACCAAATAACTGAGATGAAAACCTTGAAGCTTACAGAATTAAATGCTATAACTAAAGCTTCAAAGATCTGTAAGTGGGTTTTTAAAATTTGTCTGTGCCTACAAACATGGTCATAAATAAATTAACAGTGAAATGAAAACCTCTAAGGAAAGTTAATAGATGCACATAATAGAGTTGCACATGGTATTTAAAAAGGATATGAACATGCTGCAACATAAAAAAATATGTCAATGATCTTGCAGCATGAATTTTAAAGTATATTAAATACAAAAAAAAAGGTAAAATAATCAGAGGCAGCTAGACTGAGAATATCTCATTGTGGTTTGTATGCAGTAAAAAAATGAAAAGAATTTACATGCAAATATGAAAAATGACATAGCATTACAAGCATCTATTTCACTAAAAATAAAATACAGTCAATTAAAGACATGGGTTTTAAAAGCAGAACTTTATTAGGACCTGATATCTATTTTTTTTTAAAAAATATTGTTGACATTCCTAATTTTACACATTTTTTTTCTTTTCATTATCCTTGTCAATGATTCAGCATACACAGAATGAAAAAAATCTACTGGACCATATTTTGTACAGCCAACTAGGAACTTTTTTTCTCCTCTGTACTACAACATCAGAATATGGCTCACTCTTCAAGCCATCTATTCTCTGAAGGATACAACTGAAGCCTTAATATTTTCTCCAGTCATTCTGATTTATTTCACTCTATCATTTATCATATATGTAGCTATCAGCAACTAACACCTCTTTCGCTGAATCTCTACAACACAATTACAGCTCCTCCTTCCTGTCTTTGTCATGAAGGTGCTCTAGGGACAAATTTTATAGTTCCCTGCAGATAAGTAGTATCAGCTTCATAATACTTCCATCTTTTGTCAGCCTGAAAACTAAGATCATAATGTACTCTCCAGCCAGATCTGAGTGGCTGCTATCCATGCTGATAGTGAAAACTAACCTACAGTATCAGTGAAAAGAAAATAAAAATAAAAATGACTCCAGGGCCATCTGTAAAAGGAAATACCGTGATGAATAGAACCTTAAGATTTTATTTCAAGGTCTTTCCACAAGTAAAACAAATAAAGCCAGCAAAAAACCTGAACAGTTTTAAAAAACAGCCTGCTTTTAAAGAATCACTGCATTGTTTTAGCTATGTGCCACTTAAACACAAGTGACTTGAAAACTAGAACACAGATTTTTGATTTCCATTAATGAATTATCACTCAGGTTAATTTGGTGAATGGTACTGGCAATCTAGAAAGTATTTCAGACCACACATAACACTATTATTTAAACTTAATGACAGTTACGTTTAGTTTTTAAATATCTAAAAAATTCTAAAAAAAAAAAAGACAACTTGAGGATTCTGATATTTGATTTTATGAGAATCACTGGGCTGTTGCAAAATGAAGACCTACAGACATTGCAGACAAAGCAATCTCCTCAGTCAGGTATATGATGATATACTAAGTGTTTATTAGCAGAAAAAGACCCCACTTATTTTAGTTCAGTGTTCTAAATGCACTAAAAATCAAGGTATTCTGTATAATTCACATTAAACTTGGAAGTACAACATTGCCATTAAATTTCTCAACGTATATAAAAAGTGACAATATTTAGATAATGTATATATTACCTGGTTTAGAGAATAATACCAAGAAAGGGGAAGATTAAATACCCGTAAAGCTACTGTCTTCAGAGAAAATCGTGCCTCAGTAACAGCTTCTTCTGACATGGCTCCTTCTCTCCCATAACCTCATAAAGTGGAACTACCTTGAAAACAGTCACAGAAGGTCTCTGGAATACTCTGTCAAATGAAGGATACACACTAAATCATGCAATTGAAGTTTTCCTCTACAAGCTCGAAGCTTTTACATAACAAGTACAGGACTTGTTTGACTGATGTTTCTGTGTAGAGATAAGACTTGTGCTTAAATGAGAAGGCAGTAAATTTGCTGGCTCAGCTTAGGCCCCATTTCTTCCAAGTGCTCTGTGCAGGGACCTGTGTGTGTACAAAGGATCTGCGGAGGGCTCAGTCTGCTTTCATGAGCTGGCAGTTCACTTATTATATCCTCCAAATCAAACGTGGCAACAACCCTATTTCTGACATCAGTACTGCTGGAAGAACACATTTGACAGCTAAAAGAGTTAAAAGATTTGAAGGCAGCCAGAAAAAAGTTTATCTCATTCAGAGCTTCATTTTTTTTGCAGACACGTGATGAGGGAATACTACAGCCTGATGTAATCTCTCCCATGAAAAAGGGACAGCCCCCTCACTCTCGGACGCTGAGCCCAAGGCCAAGTGTGTGACATCCAGGACCGAGGTGCTAGAAAAGGGCGGGCCCGCAGGCCGCGGGAGCGGTCAGCTTCCACCACCCGCCCGTTTCCCTCCGCCGGCGCGTCCGGCCGGGCTGGGCTGCCCCGGAGACGTTTCCGCAGGGCAGGAGCTTCTGCCC